CGTTCTCGGGTCACACTACTCAAGACTGAGTTCCATAGCTCTCGCAAGGGCTCAATGAAGATGGAGGAGTATCTCATCAAGATGAAATTATTGGCGGACAGTCTCAAACTTGCAGGGAGTCCTATCTCCAACACTGATTTGATCACTCAAACTCTAGCTGGCTTGGATATTAACTACAATGCTATAATAGTCCAATTATCTGATAAAAACGACTTGACTTGGATTGATATGCAAGCACAACTCCTAACATTTGAGAATAGACTTGAGCAGCTAAATTCCCTCTCAAGTCTGACCCTTAGTCCTTCACCAAATGTTGTAACCAGATTTGACCAAAAAGTGAATCGATCTAACAATCGTGGAAGCTGGAGAGGTAATAATTTTAGAGGTACGAGAGGTGGTAGAGGAAGAGGAAGACTATCCCGAGACAAACCAACATGTCAGGTTTGCGAAAAAATTGGCCACATTGCTGTCCAGTGCTTCTATAGGTTTGACAAGTCATACATGGGCCAATCCTCTGATGACAAGCAGGAAAAGCACAATGCCTTCATTGCCTCACCAAATTTCAACGCCTCATCAAATTCAATTAGAGACCCGGAGTGGTACTTTGATAGTGGTGCTAGCAATCATGTCACACATGACCCTAATCAGTTCCAGGAAATCTCTGAGCATGATGGTAAGACCTCTTTAGTTGTTGGTAATGGTGAAAGATTAAAAATACACGCTTATGGTACTGCAGCTTTAGACACTTGTCAAAGATCCCTTAATCTACACGATCTTCTCTATGTGCCTAAGATTACTAAAAATTTATTAAGTGTCTCCAAACTTGCTACTGACAATAATATTACAATTGAATTTGATGCAAGTGACTGTTTTGTGAAGGACAAGTTAACAGGGAAGGTTCTACTAGAAGGGAAACTTAGAGATGGCTTGTACCAGCTCTCTAGTGTCAACGCAGCTAAATTCCCTCTCAAGTCTGACCCTTAGTCCTTCACCAAATGTTGTAACCAGATTTGACCAAAAAGTGAATCGATCTAACAATCGTGGAAGCTGGAGAGGTAATAATTTTAGAGGTACGAGAGGTGGTAGAGGAAGAGGAAGACTATCCCGAGACAAACCAACATGTCAGGTTTGCGAAAAAATTGGCCACATTGCTGTCCAGTGCTTCTATAGGTTTGACAAGTCATACATGGGCCAATCCTCTGATGACAAGCAGGAAAAGCACAATGCCTTCATTGCCTCACCAAATTTCAACGCCTCATCAAATTCAATTAGAGACCCGGAGTGGTACTTTGATAGTGGTGCTAGCAATCATGTCACACATGACCCTAATCAGTTCCAGGAAATCTCTGAGCATGATGGTAAGACCTCTTTAGTTGTTGGTAATGGTGAAAGATTAAAAATACACGCTTATGGTACTGCAGCTTTAGACACTTGTCAAAGATCCCTTAATCTACACGATCTTCTCTATGTGCCTAAGATTACTAAAAATTTATTAAGTGTCTCCAAACTTGCTACTGACAATAATATTACAATTGAATTTGATGCAAGTGACTGTTTTGTGAAGGACAAGTTAACAGGGAAGGTTCTACTAGAAGGGAAACTTAGAGATGGCTTGTACCAGCTCTCTAGTGTCAACTTCATTGTGTTCTGTCAAGTTGGACAGAAACAATTATCTGTTCTGGAAATCTCTAGCGTTGCCTTTAATTTGAGGAAGCAAACTCGATGGCTATATCTTTGGGACAAAGGAGTGTCCTGAGCAATTCATTATAGAAGAATCAACAAAGAAAATCAATCCTGCTTATGAGGAATGGTTAGCCACCGACCAGTAGCTATTAGGGTGGCTTTTTAATTCAATGACAGAAGGCGTTGCCACTCAGCTTCTGCACTGTGAAACATCCAAAGAGCTTTGGGAAGGTGCTCAAAGCCTAGTTGGAGCGCACACACGTTCTCGGGTCACACTACTCAAGACTGAGTTCCATAGCTCTCGCAAGGGCTCAATGAAGATGGAGGAGTATCTCATCAAGATGAAATTATTGGCGGACAGTCTCAAACTTGCAGGGAGTCCTATCTCCAACACTGATTTGATCACTCAAACTCTAGCTGGCTTGGATATTAACTACAATGCTATAATAGTCCAATTATCTGATAAAAACGACTTGACTTGGATTGATATGCAAGCACAACTCCTAACATTTGAGAATAGACTTGAGCAGCTAAATTCCCTCTCAAGTCTGACCCTTAGTCCTTCACCAAATGTTGTAACCAGATTTGACCAAAAAGTGAATCGATCTAACAATCGTGGAAGCTGGAGAGGTAATAATTTTAGAGGTACGAGAGGTGGTAGAGGAAGAGGAAGACTATCCCGAGACAAACCAACATGTCAGGTTTGCGAAAAAATTGGCCACATTGCTGTCCAGTGCTTCTATAGGTTTGACAAGTCATACATGGGCCAATCCTCTGATGACAAGCAGGAAAAGCACAATGCCTTCATTGCCTCACCAAATTTCAACGCCTCATCAAATTCAATTAGAGACCCGGAGTGGTACTTTGATAGTGGTGCTAGCAATCATGTCACACATGACCCTAATCAGTTCCAGGAAATCTCTGAGCATGATGGTAAGACCTCTTTAGTTGTTGGTAATGGTGAAAGATTAAAAATACACGCTTATGGTACTGCAGCTTTAGACACTTGTCAAAGATCCCTTAATCTACACGATCTTCTCTATGTGCCTAAGATTACTAAAAATTTATTAAGTGTCTCCAAACTTGCTACTGACAATAATATTACAATTGAATTTGATGCAAGTGACTGTTTTGTGAAGGACAAGTTAACAGGGAAGGTTCTACTAGAAGGGAAACTTAGAGATGGCTTGTACCAGCTCTCTAGTGTCAACGGAAAGAACAAAAGAATGCTCCATTGTTCAGTGACAGTCAGAGTGCTATATGTCTTGCAAAGAATCCTGTCTTTCATTCTAGATGCAAGCATATTCAACTAAGATACCATTTCATCAGAGAGTTAATAAATGATGAAGAATTATCTTTGCTGAAGATCTCAGGATCAGAAAATCCAGCTGATATGCTAACTAAGACTGTTACAACTGACAAGTTGAGGCTCTGCACTACCTCAGCTGGTCTTCAAGGATAATTGAAGATGAAGACGTTGCACTAGGCGAAGGAGCCGATGAACTCGATGCTTACAAGGAAGCTAACTAGAACTCAAACTCCAAGTGGGAGAATTGTTAAGTGTGTAGTCTAAGTTTAGTCCCACATTGTTTAGCTTGTAATGCTTGCCTCCTCTTTATGCTATATATATAGAGGCACCTTGTAAGGTTCTAATGCATCAAAATAAAAACTCTTCCTAGTGTAACCGTGGATGTAGGTACATACATAGTGTGCTGAACCACGTAAATAGTTGTGTTCCTCTTTCCTTTTTATTCTCTTTTAATACCTGTTGCCTAATAGTATCTAAATCTGATCTATTATATCAATTAAACATAAAATAATAATAAAGAAAGTTTCATATAAAAGCTACTTTAATAATTTTCACTTTCATTTTACCCATAACCCTTATGTTGCTCTAAGTCTCTTACCTCGTTCCTTAGTGACCATGCTTTTCCATTCTTCCCTAACATTAACATTGCTTTTGCCTTTTTCATTCCTTTTTTTAATTTTTTTTTCTCAATGTTATCTCACTCTATGTTTGTAGATTAGGGTTCAAGATAATTTTATAGTTCTTGTGATAGTCTAATAGAAGTTCTTTGATGGGAGGTTATAATATGATAATGGCTTATGGTAGTGTTAAAATGATGGTGGCTTACTATATGGACGTCTCTAAAGTTGTAGACTTGTAGCAAGGTTATTCTTCTTTTTTTTCAATATTTTTTCACCTTTTATGTTTCCACAAAAAATTGTTTGCAAGTTACAAGATACTTTTGTTTTCTTAAGTTACTCCTTGTTCTAACCTCTTATCCTGGTTACATGTCACACGATAGGTTTCACAAAGGGAACATAACTTCAAAGTATGAGTTTTTCTTGTAATAGGAAATAAAGGAAGTATTTTTTTTAGTTTTTCATTTACATTATTGGTTGTGACTTGTTTCTTTTGTTTTCTTTAATTTCTTGTAAATTTTGTTAAAGATCTAACTTTAAAACTTGGGGTAAAATTTGTTATACCTAGTATAGTATAACTCGCTCAAACCCAATCGAAAGACTCAAAAACTGAATAACTTGAACTCAACCAACCCTTAAGAGGAAAACAATTATAAATGAGTATAGTTTTATTTCGGTTGATTTTAGTCGGATTGGTAAATTTAGGTCAGAAATCAACCAATGATCACCTCCAAGGATGGCCATGTTTAAGAGTGACATGGCATGCTTTGTTGGCATTCTAAGGAAGCACGATAGTGAATATTGGTAAGCACAACTATGCTTCATAACATGATCGTGTATAATGGTATGTTTCCCTTGAAGCATGACTATGTATAAGTCAAACACAACTATACATGTCTTGAGTCTTTTGTAATTACTTTGTTTTATCCCTTAATTGCATCAATTTAATTTTTTTCCCTCTATTTGTTGCATATTTAATAAAAGAAGTGAAGTATTGTAAAAAAAATAATAAATTAAGACAAAAAATTAATAAAATATAATATTAATATGGAACATTGTGTCGGTTTAACATATTAATATTCAGCTAAAAAGTACAAGTTTTATTGAATTATTATATAATAATATATAATTTTGTTAGTTATAATATTTTTATAATATTATATTATATTTATAGTGCAATTATTTATTTTAAAAATATATTATAAAATATATCTTAATTTAAATAAAATAATACTTTTGCAATTCAATGTAATTTTTAAAAAAATCAAACCATCCACATCTTCACAGAAAAAAGAAAAGACAAAAAAAAACCGAATACGTCGGAGGTTGGTGAAAGAGGCATGAATGATGTTGGTTTTTGGTTTTTGGACCTGTTTCCACTTATTATTATCACCCACAAACAATTAATTAGTTTTATTGTTTGTTTATTGTGGCTGCAACTGCAAGACAGCGGTAGAGAGAGAGAAGGGAAGGAACAAGGAAGAGTGGGTGTTGGTGGTTGTCCTCTTCTTCATGTCATGGCAACCCTTTCCTCCTTCCTCTCCTCTTCCTCTCTTCCTCTTTTCCATCGCCACCCTTCTCCTTCCCCCTTCCGCCCCTCTCTCTCCCTATCCTTCTCTCACACTAAACCTCGTCTCCCCCTTCTCGTTCTCGCTTCCTCATCCCATTCCTTCCACGATTTCACCTCCAACTCCAAGGTACCCTTTCTATACCTTCTCTTAATGTCTCTATTAGACTGCCAATTCAATTTCTTCACTATTTGGTTCCCAATTTTACTGTTGTTTCTTCTTATTACAGAAATCAGTTCTTTCGGAGTTGATACAAGAGATTGAGCCTCTCGATGTCACTCACATCCAGAAAGATGTTCCACCAACCACAGCGGATGCCATGAAAAGGACCATATCTGGTATGCTGGGCTTGCTCCCATCTGATCAATTTCACGTTGTTATCGAGGCCTTGTGGGATCCTCTCTCCAAGTTACTCATTTCTTCAATGATGACCGGGTAAGCTCTATTTCTGTGGTTATGTCAAAACACTTATCATTTATATATTACTTTTATGGAGTCCATAGGAGTGTTGTTAGGGTTGTACTCATAGCAGTATTGTTCGATTTAAAAATTTAAGTCTCATGAATTTTGCTCTCTTGAAACCCGTAATTAGAGTTTGTTTAGATAGGGGAAACAAATCAAAATAAGCTAAAACTAACTTATATATAAGCTAAAAGTAAGATTTTGGAGAATTTAATAGGATAAAAGTTTTACAAATTAGCTTATGAATTAGTTAGTTTTAGCAAAAAGATAAACTTATTTTATTTTATTTTTAATTTTCTTCCTAGAAATTTAATGGAGAAGTTTAACCAAATAGACCGTTAGTTTCTCTGATTCACCAACTTGTGTAAATAAATGAGTTAGCCGTTTGGTTTGGAGAAGGGAGGGAATATTGTCATCACAACTGTTTACTTGAATGCATCTACTTTCATAAATGTCCCAAATTTTCTGAAACTTCTAAAGAAATGTGATTCTTTTCAGTTATTATGCATGGCCTAGTAATGTTATAGAGAGGGAACATGAAAACTATCTTCATGTATTGCAGGTATACACTGCGCAATGTTGAATACAGGCTTTGTCTTGAGAAAAACCTTGATATGTATGAAAGAGATATAGAGATGCCAAGGGCAGAAAGTATGAAAGTGGACTTACAAGGGTTGATGCAGGACAGTGTAAATGTAATTGACTTTGGTAGAAATAAGAATTTGTCTTCCAAAGTTGAAAAGCTTCAGGAGGATGTTGACATACAAGAGCTTGGTGAAATATCTGCAGAAGCTCAACAATATATTTTTAATTTACAATCTCGCCTGTCTTCCATGAAAAAGGTATTTTGTACAATTATGGATGTTTCTTGATATTTGAAAGATTTTAAGCATGGGATTCATGATGCATTGAATGGTCAATAAATGTATTTTGCACTGGACATTATTAATTCTTAATTTCCATATACCCCACGGTATGCTTCATCCTTTGATTATGTACATGCTCTCTAATTTGTCTGCTTGTTAATGATTGATATGCATTAAAGTCCCTCAATTGTAAATAAGTCAGCTATACAATATGCTTGTTTTTCCTCATTTTGGTTTCTTTTCCATTTTTTGGGACATTTTTGTAGGAACTACATGAAGCAAAGAGGAAAAGTGCTGCCCTTCAAATGCAACAGTTTGTTGGAGAGGAAAAGAATGATTTATTGGATTACTTGAGATCGCTTCAACCTGAACAGGTTTTGCCCATTTTCAGAAAATTTCTGAGTTGTCTTTGCATTTCGAGACTTCTTTTCCCTGTATATGCTATGTAATGGCAATTAATTAGCACAGTGCAGTTCTTTCTGGCCTTGGCTTGTCATTTTGTCTTCAAATATTACTTGGAAAATATGGAGACATTTTGTCTTCACTGTTATATTGTTGTATCAGTTTACTATGTATGAGGGGACAATGGAGAAGAAAACACTTGAATTTTGTGAAAATTAATTTAGTGCTTTCTGCTTTGATAAATTTGTGGCCCATTCTCTTGACTACATGAAGAGGATTTTTTCTGATATATATATTTTTTTTCATATTCAATTAACTTTTGTTTTTTCTTGCTTATTTTAAAATAAAATCTACTTTATGATATTTTGAAATCATTTGATCCATGTAACCTGTCCTAAGTGTTGGGTAAAGGTTTTTAGTTGTTCTGCCCCGTAGGCTTTAATACTTGTATTCTTTTGCATTGCTACAATGGAAGTTTTGGGCATGTGACAAATCCAAGTATTCGTTCAAACATTTAAAGATGCATGTTCTCTTGTATTCCTTGTTAGTTGTGTCATTATTAGCTATATTTAATTTTACTATATTTTCTTTTTATTTTCAATTTATATCAGTAATTTATTTGGGTGTGTGGCAATTGAGCAGGTAGCTCAGCTTTCAGAATTTACATCCCCTGAGCTTAAGGACATCATCCTCTCTGTTGTCCATGGTCTCCTTGCTACCCTTTCTCCAAAGATGCATTCTAAACCTTCCACTATGTCAGAAAATACAACGGTTGGAGCGACAAATTGTGCTGAGGTTGTTGAGAACTCTGCTCTTCAATTTCAGCCTGTTATTTCATTAACTCGGGACTATCTTGCTCGCCTGCTCTTTTGGTCAGTCCGCCCATCTCCATATGTGTATTTTATTTGTTTATTATGCAATAATGAGTAATTAGCTTTATATATTGGTATAAAGGGGATAGAGAATTATTTAGAAACTTCAAAAGTGATTTGCAATGTTACAGTTATTTATTAGTGCAGTGTTCTTTTTTGTTGTATAATGATAGCAACAAAATTAAAATCTAAGATTTTGTACGTACTATGCAAACCCTCCATCACCAGGCCGACTCTAGTTAGTGCAGTGTTTGTTGGGGCTGGTGTTCTAAACAAACAAAACTAACGTTTTCTTATTCACACCTCTCCCTAAAGGTGCATGCTGTTGGGACACTATCTTAGAGGTCTCGAGTGTCGATTGGAGTTGACGGAATTGCTATCCTTGACAAGTGATGCTGAGAATGATGCCTCTGGAAGTCAACCAATTGCTTGAATGATGTTCACAATTCGGTGGTTCAACTGTATATAGACGTGTTGTTTCAACATGATTTTTGCTTTCAACCCGAAGAGATAATTATACAGACTCTAGTACTACTCATTTATGCCGAGGAGTTATCTTTGCTTACTGAAGAATATTGCATTCCTTGCACGTACCAATTCTCTCAGTAGGATCGAAGGTAATTACATATTATAGAATATGAAATGTTGGGACGAACTATGCTGTACCAAATCTATTTGAATAAAACAATTTAGTTAGGTGATCTAGATTTTAATCATTTTATATTTCTGTCTATATCATTTGATGCCTCGATCCAGGTAATAAAGAGCTGATAATTTATTAAAACAACTCAGTGAATACTTTTAGCAAGATGTTAAACATTTCTGCAATTATTATTTTTAGTTGGAAAAATAGACTCATTGTGAAGATCAAAATAGCTACGGCTACTTTATGTGTGTTTGAAAACGTCTAAAGGGTACGGACGTACGCCAATTGTAGATTTTGATGCAAAAGTTACGATGTGAAACATTAATAAGGATACCTGGATACGCGTTTATGGAGTAATGGACATTGCATGAATAGCAATGGGTATGGATCCTTTTCAGTGAGTTTAGCATTGTTTTAATTTTAGTCCTTCAATAAATTTGATTAATATAATAACTTTTTAATTATAAAGTAGAAATTAAAAAGAATAAATTGTGAGATTATAATACTTGACCATTTTCATTTCTATTGGAGATGATCCCTGCCCTAGTAGCTACATTTGATTTCTCCAAATTAGTGTGCTCGCAGGTCACAACACGGATTATGGGTATATGTGCATTACAAATTGTAAATTGTTATTTGATTCAATAAAGTGGTAAAATTCACATAAATCATGGTTAAGCATTTAAAATCGCGTTCAAATATAATCACCTAATTGTTTTACACATTTATTATACCATCATCACACTTAGTATCTTTTCTCCCCTCTCAATCTTCTTAATAGACGTGTTATGTATGCTACAATAATTTTCTTTTCTTTTCCAAATTACGGTAATGTATTAATCTTTGGTGCTATTTTTTTTTTCCAGCTCTAAATGCTTTAGTTAATGATTGCTGTAATTTTTCACAACTCACCAAGGTCTTCTCCAATCTGGCTTCTCTAGCTAAAGTTTATAAGTGGGTGTCACATGTATATTTTTACCCTTTTCAACTTAAGAATTTGATTCCTCTAATCCAGCACCTCGACAAAAAATGTTAAATAGACCACGCTAACAATCACACAGCCTTGTATTTTGTCCACAATTTATTAATTTATAAAATTTGACCCAAGGATTATAAATGCTATTTATTTATTATAAAGGCTGCATTCGTTGATATAATGGCACTCAATAAAAAATTATAATAGTTCTTCCATTACATATAACATTTTTAAAAAATATTTTTATAATTAATTGTTTATAATAAATTACAAATTAATAAAAATATATTTTTAATATATTTTGATATCTAAATAGAGTGGTACAACATATGGTTAGTTATTCTAATCAAACACTTCTTATCTTATTCCTGATAGTTACATTTTAGGTACTAAACATGCACTGAATTTTGTTGTCCTTAGTTGCGACGGTTAGTTAAGTGGAACATAACATCAACAAACATGTAACATTCGCTGGGCACTTCAAATGAAAATTCAACTAAAGGAACATGCTTTCATTGTATCATCAGTTTGTGGTTCCTACATCCCAAAAGTTCAAATATTCAGTTGCGCTTCTTCACTCTCCCTCTTGGAGTTCCATAGCAGACCCACTCAACCTCGCTACGCTCCTACAAGGTCACATTCCTCATTCTAAACTTCTTCAAATTCACGCACGAGTTTTCCTACTTGGTGCACACCAAGACAACCTCGTAGCCACGCGCCTCATCGGCCACTACCCATCACCAATTGCTCTTCGGGTCTTTCACCATCTCCAAAATCCAAACATTTTCCCTTTCAATGCCATCATCAGAGTCCTCGCCCAAGAGGGTCATTTTTTTCACGCCGTTTCCGTCTTCAACCATTTGAAACGGCGTCCACTTTTCCCCAACGACTTAACCTTCTCTTTTCTGCTTAAGGCATGCTTTCGGTCCAAAGATGTCCGTTATGTCGAACAAATTCATGCCCACATTCACAAGATTGGTTTCCTTTCCAATTCTTTTGTTTGTAATGGGTTGGTTTCTGTCTACGCCAAAGGCTTTAAAAAATTATTATCTGCCCGTAAAGCGTTTGATGAAATTCCTGACAAAAGGGTTGTTAGCTGTTGGACTAACTTGATCACTGGTTTTGCTCAGTCTGGTCAGAGTGAAGAGGTTTTGCAGCTTTTCCATGACATGATTAGGCAGAACTTGCTTCCCCAAAGTGATACCATGGTCAGTGTTTTATCGGCTTGTTCTAGCCTTGAGATGGCAAAAATTGAGAAATGGGTTTGCATTCTTTCAGAATTAATTGATGACGGCGTGAATCCTAGAGAAACTTGCCATGATTCGGTTAATACGGTGCTGGTTTATTTGTTTGGTAAATGGGGGAGGATTGAGCAGAGTAGAGAAGGGTTTGACAGAATTTCTGCATCAGGAAAAAGAAGTGTGGTTCCTTGGAATGCTATGATAAGTGCATACGTTCAGAATGGTTATCCTATGGAGGGTTTAAGGCTTTTCCACATTATGGTAGAAGAACAAACCACTAGACCTAATCATATCACAATCGTTAGTGTGCTTTCAGCCTGTGCTCAAATTGGTGATTTGAGTTTTGGTAGTTGGGTTCACGAGTACCTAATATCTCTAGGACATAAAGACACCATTGGGTCAAACCAAATTCTCGCCACATCTTTAATTGACATGTACTCTAAATGTGGCAATTTGGACAAGGCAAAGGAAGTTTTTGAGCATACAGCCTCCAAAGATGTTGTCTTATTCAACGCAATGATCATGGGTCTTGCAGTGTATGGTGAAGGAGAGGATGCGTTGAGACTCTTCTACAAAATGCCAGATTTTGGGTTACAACCCAATGCTGGAACGTTTCTTGGTGCTTTAAGTGCATGCAGTCACTCTGGGTTGCTGGAGAAAGGACGCCAGATATTCAGAGAACTGACCCTTTCCACTACTCTTACGTTGGAACATTTTGCTTGCTATGTTGATCTCCTTGCAAGAGTAGGATGCGTAGAAGAAGCTATTGAGGTTGTGACTTCCATGCCTTTCAAGCCTAACTATTTTGTCTGGGGTGCTTTGCTTGGAGGCTGCTTGCTCCATTCTAGAGGAGAGCTGGCCCAAGAGGTTTCTAGGAGGCTTGTTGAAGTAGATCCATATAGTTCTGCGGGCTATGTTATGTTGGCAAATGCACTTGCATCTGATAGTCAATGGTGTGAGGTCTCAGAGCTGCGGATGGAAATGAAAGAGAAGGGGATCAAGAAACAACCAGGAAGTAGTTGGATTATTGTGGATGGAGTTGTACATGAATTTCTTGTTGCCTGTTTGTCACATCCTAAAATTGAGGAGATATATCATACATTGGCTGGATTGGTGAAGCATATGAAAGTAGCAGCCCATTATCAGCGTGTACTGTTATTAGATAACCTGTGATTACAGGAACAGTGTCCCACATGTTATTATTTTTTTTTCAAAGCTTGCTAATTGGGTTAGATTTAGTTGCTAGGAATTATAATTCAGTGATTTGTTAGTCTTTGAACAATGTATCTGCCATGACACAATTTTGAGACTAATCCTCTGGGTTGCGGGTTGTGAATAGTAATTAGATAACATCCTCTTGCATGTAAAGTTCATTTTAAGGTCACGGTCCCTATTTACAGATAAATAAGATTTTCTATGAATTGAGAATATGTGAACAATTTATTGATTAAGTTTAACTTGCATTTCATATAAAAAGGATTTTCAGTCATTTTTTTAATGAAATCGTCAATGTTGGTAAATCAAGCTATCAAATAAAATTACAACTGTAAAGGTGCCGGATAAGTAATGAAGAGTGGGGTAGAAGACGAATATCGCCATGTGTAGTACCAAAAACGTGAAAAAATTTCTCAGACTTGTAACAACTCTGCCAAATTCCAAAGTTCATATTGCAATAACACTAACGGGATAGATGTATAATTTACGATTCTACAAACTACGCCTATTCTAAATAAGCACGGGATTCTTTGACTAGAATTCCTTGCCTGTAACAACAAACCAGCCACTAACACTTACATCAAAAACAAAACTATTGAATAATTGAACTGACAAGTTTTACGACGAACTAACAATTCACACTAATTTGAGGCAGTTTCAAGAGAAATTATTAGGTAGGTCCCAATTAATCATTATATGACATGCATTTAAATTTTTCTAATGTACCATGAGAAAAATAACATCATTTAATTACATGTCATATAAAGACTAATTAAAGATTTTGTGATTATCAACTACCTAATAATTTATCTTATATAGACACTTTGAGTACATAGATCTGGGATGCTATGGCAGATGCTACCACCCTTTGCCCATAAAGATCGCTCTGCAGATATTCATAATTGGTTAAAATGACGTCACAAAGACTTTCATGCAATATGCCCTGCAATGAAAAAGGAAAAGAATAAACATATAGTAATGAACAATTTTTTTTACATAATCAAGGTTTGAATCAAAACCGCAAAAACTAAAGTATATGCTATTTTCTAATTTAGAACATGTTTTTTTTATAACTAATATTGATTAAAAAGAGTTTTGTAAAGGTTGAAAAACATTAACAAATGCTACTATAATACATATATTTTGGTGCGTGTAAAGTAACGGCAAACCTCAGTGCATTTCAATGCTGTTTGGACAACATAATTTCCGAAAGGATCCATAGTAACATTCAGAAATTTAAGGTTGTACATAAGCTCCAGAACTATAAATGCAGCATGCTTCATTTCGGAAAATTTTAAGAGACCCTCCACCACATTGCTGGCATACTTGTTCATTGATAGTCCAACATATCTATTGCGAAGTCGGGATATTAACATTGCATTTACTTGCATTTTCTTCTTTTTAACTAAAAACTGCACCACATAATTTCTGTCGACAAAATAGAATAAATTGTCAAGGAAAATTCAAACTCAAACAAATATACCAACTTTAGATAAATTTGAAAGTCAAATGTTTTATGAAAAAAATAATCCGCGAGATTATAATAAGGCACAAGATTATCATTCTTAGGAAGAAATGGTGTAAAAAATCCCTAAGATGTTTCACAATAGTTAAAATAAAAAAAAAGTTTTTTATATGGTATAATGATAGTATTTCTATCCTATTAGTAAGATACAAATCTTAAGCAAGTGTAAAAGGGAGAAGGAGAGACTTTTCAATGGGATGCAAATACATTGTAAACTGGAGTGACATCAAACCGTCCTCTAACACATTATTGTTAACTATTAAAATTCATCAAAAACTATAAAATAATGAGTGACACCCACAAAATCTCTCTTTTCTTACTGGTGTGGTGGTAAAGAGGTGTTTTATGCATTACTCTCGTTTTATCACTATATCTTTATCTTTAAATTGAAGTGTAATAAATTTTTAAATATAAATATTTTTAAATGTCAATAAATAAAGTAATCATATATTACAATTTAATTTGTTCAATATACATCTAAAATAGAATTTATATTCAAAATATTTATTTATTACAAATTGTAATTTTACTTGTATAAAAATAAGTATTTATCTTGTAAATTATTATGACTACAATACAAGGAGTTCACCCAAAAAAAAAAAATACAAGGAGTTCAATCAAGAGTTGGAGATCAAACCCGTATGGATCTTGTGCTAAGACCTCGGCATTTGAGATTATTTCATCAATCAGTTGCGAGTTAGATCTTCCCTCAACATGTTCCATACATTTTTGAATAACACAACATCCGTATGCATCTCGTGCAATTTCAACGCAGTTCTCTGCTGCTTGATCCAAAATTACCTGAAACCGTGTTTCCCATTAAAGGTTATGGAAAAAATAAATAAATAATTCATTGTTTAAAGTAAAAGAAAGGGTGCATTACATAGTTCCACTTGGGTGGAAAACGCTTCAGGCACTGCTGAATGACATAACTACCATTGACATTTTTCATCAATTCCACAATGATGGGCTCCATAGCATAAATAAATGCTAGTGCAAAGTTTTGGGTTTCGATGTTCTCCAGCATCATCTTAATAGCCTGAATTCTGTAGGAGAAAAAAAATCGTGAGCAAAAGCAACATATATAGTTTTAATTATATTACATAATTTCATTATGGAAATTCTTGAAGTGTTTGTAAATAATTTGGTAGTAATACTATACCCTTGATGATCCGTGCAGACGTCTTTCAGCTTTTGGTTATCCATGGCAATGAAGTATAAGAGAAGAGTCTTCATTTGAGCAATGGTAACATCGGTTGATAGAAAAAGCTTGTGAATGATGAGGTTGCCACAAGGGTCTTTCATCAAGTAGTATAAATGATCCTCCAGGTTTTGTCCGATCATGTTGATTTGATGGGGTGTGGCATCATGGATGATGCGGAGAAGTGTACGGCGTCCTTCTGGTTCCTTTGCCAATGAAGCCATGCGTCTCCAACGAGGATGATAGTTTGGTGAGCCTAAAACACATGCAATAGGATGGTGGTGCACATGCACCTGATTAGCAGCTCCAATAATCCTCATGCGGTGCAACGCAGCTTCATCCACATATCCATAAGGATTCCTTACGCTAACTGCTTCCATGGAAGACACAAGGTCTTGCATTCCAGAAGCACTGATCTCACGGTGACTGTGGTTGTCTTGTGCCATTGGAAAAGAGAAAGGCTGAAGGAGGGAGAGAGAGCTTTCCAAACAAATATCTCTGTTTGATTTTTGTAAAGTTTCTCTTTTTAAATTTATAATTTCTCCAATGATATCTTTGTTTTTAAAATTTGATTTTTTATTCACAAAATCACACAACATTATCTTTTGGATATTTAATTTAATAATTGACTTTTTTTTTATCTTTTTTTTTTTATTTATGTTTTCTGTTTTTCTTATCAACAAGTAAAATTGCAATCACAATAATAATAATTTAATTTCAATGCTCATGCATCTATGTCAAGTCACTAATCATGAACGAAAGGATACTCTTATCTTATAAATATAATTTTTGTTGGTTTTGTTTCTCTTAGTATATTTTTTTATAAAGAAATTTAACTTCCTCTCACTAGATCACTCTTATAAAAATAGAATAGTATTTTCTGTTGTGATTTTATATTTAACTTATAGAGATTGAATCTCAATCAAATCACTTTGTAAAAAACTTTTGTAATTTATATATATTTTTTCTATGTATATGTAAATATTTGTTTTGTATAATTAAATTTATATTTAATAGATATTTTAAATATATAAAATAGATTATAAATAAAACTTATAATCAATTCATCTACAAATGGTTATTTCGTGTAAGAATATTTTTAGAAAATGAAAGTGTTTTCAAGATTTTTTTTTAATTTTTTATCTAATTTTTTTATCATATTTATTTATAAATTCAATTTTAATATTCTTAAAATAAATTATCAATAGTTAAAAAAATCTTTGGTTAGTTATATATGGATGATTGTATGGGTATATACAACTGATCTTATTCTAGCTACTTCTTGTGAACAATAATCGATTCAAGAACTAAGAGACGTGTTAATGCTTAATATCATTAGTTTCTTTAGTCTTGCTTTTGAATTTTAATATAATAGGATCGGATAGGATGGTATGATATATATAGTGTCTGCATGGTCGTTTGAAGGCAAGGCCGGCATTATTAATCTTTAGATTGTACTTACCTCATGTGGGGAAGTGCATTTTTGTGGACTAATAATGATGGCACGGACATATTACACGCTTAATATTATCATTAAAAGAGATCGATATTATTATAGGGTAAGATACAATTATTAGGGTATATATATATATATAAGAGTTATAATAATACTAGTGTAACTTTTAATAAATATTACATCACTCAATAATTTTATGTTAAATGTAATTTTTTGTAAATTCAACTGTTAGGTTGAAAGTTCTTTACTCTTAGATCATATATACAAAATTTTATACTAATCTAAGGTTATTTGATAATTCATTCTTATAAAATAAATTTAACATAATATATTTATTTCAAATATACTAAAACATAAACATTCTGATTACCTTCAAGTTGTTCAATTTTTATAAAATTTAATATAAACATATAAAATGATATAAACTTTCAATTTCATGGTTAGATTTACAAAATTCACTTAATATAAAGTTATTGAGTGGTGTAATATTTAGTAAAAATTACACTAGTATTATTATAACCCTTCTCATATAAGAAAAACACAAATTTTTGACGGGCATAATCTGTCGGTAAAAAGGAATATCCATTAGAAATTCTCGATTTCCAACAAATGCAAATTCGTCAGAAAAAGGAGCGCTAAAAAAAATTGTCAAAAATTTCTGATGGATATATCTGTCGGTAATTATCTTTCAGAAATTTTTTAGGGGTCACCCATCCCTATATTACTTTAAGTTAAGCATGTTTAACCGTAGAGTTTTGATGACATAAGTTACCAAAAAGTAGGTAAATGCATGTTGTTAATATATGTAGTATAAATTAATTCATTTAAGTGATCCTTAACTTTACAATCTCGTACTTATACTATCTCTGAATCCTTCTCATTTCGGTGTGTCCGAATTGATAAAAATATAATAATATATATAATAATTATATTACCAATAATAATAATTATATTGTATTTAATTAATCTTTATTCGTATATATACTTACTTTTATAATTAACAATCTACTTATTTCTATTTAAAGTTAGTATTATAATACAATTTAAATTATTTATTATAAATTTAAAAGTTTAAATAATAATTTATATATTTTAAAATATTATTTTATAATTTATAATGATAATATAATTTATAAAATTATAAATATTTATTTATTACATACTTATAAATTAAATTTTAATATTTTAAATAAATTATTAATTAACTTAATATATTTATTTTAAATACATTTATTTATCTTGTTTATAGATAAGAATATGTCAAACCTTAAAAAATATATAATCTAATTTGTTAAAGTTTAGTCTAACATACACTACTTAATAAAAATGTCAAGTTTAAATTTTTATAAAAATCTATTTATTTTTAAAAAAATTAGACTTAAATTTATTAAAAAAAAGTCTATTAAACCTAATAAGTAATACAATTTATCCATTATATAATGTATATATATATATATATACAATATTATGAATAACATAATTAAATAAATTTGTAATACAAAAATAATCAAATTATCAATATTTTTTTATATTTTTATTACACTTTTACATTTTTTGTTCACACGTAATCAAAATATCAAAAATAAAAATTCTAATAATTTTTTTTTCATTTTTCATGATTGATTATTTGGAATACTTCAAATATAATATAAGAAATATTTAGATTTTTTTTCTTATAAAATTATCTTTATTAATCTGTATATGTGTAGGTATACATGGATACATATGAATCGTCGATCAATTAATTTTTATTATTATTTTAAACTCTCAGTTTTAATAATAATAAATTAAACTATTTTTATCATGCAAATTAATATAAAGAGTCACATGTATATTTAAAAATATAATTATTGATTTATTTAAAATTAAATTTATTGATTTTTTTTAATAAGCAAAATATAATTAACAAGAGTACAAAAGGTACTCTAACCTATATACACATAGTATTTTACAAAAATAAATTAAGAAAGTTAATCCAATTCACGTCAACCCAAAAGCTCACAAAAAGAACGACTTAATTAACTAATATCCAACAAGCTTCTCGTATCCCAGAAAACTAATAGTCAATGTGCAATATTAAGAAAGACAGACACCAAGAGAATTGGACCAAGAAAAGAAATTATACTTGAAAGAAGGGAATCTGGCCCTTAACCATCTCCATGAGCGTAATTGTACCAGATTTAGCATTACAGAAACAAGAATTATTTTAGAGCTGAATATGAGATCATTTCTTGCCAGTAAGATAATCCAAATAACAGATAACCACATAAGAATCCAACAATTTTGATACTTCGCAGAACAATAACGAAGCCCATAAAATTGTTCCAAGTTTTGCACACAATAATTATGCATAACAGAATTTAATCCTAACAATTATCCAACATTATTAATACAAAATAAGCTTTTAAATTGACTAATTACAAAATAAGCTTTTAAATAGACTAATATGTCAAATTTAACTTTTAAAAATGTCAGATTATGTCTATAAAAAAGAATCTATGATAGATAATGGATAAAATTTAAGCTTTAATTTTACAGAACAAACATGACCTATATTCAAAGTCTAATCTAATCTGTTTTTTTTATCTTATTTATATATAAATTATCACAATTAATTGAAAATTTATAAAATTATATGAAAGTAAATTATTTAATGTTATGTAATCACCTAAAAATTAAGGTATAACCACTAGAGTTAACATAGTGATTGGGTGGAAAAAGATCGGAGTAGTTAGAAACATGAGGATTTATGTTCAATTCTTATTATGACCATCTTTATAATCTTTTTTATCTTTAATTTTTTTTTAAAAAATTAAAGTGTTTTAAACATTAATTAATTTTTTTAATATTTTTCATAATCACTTATCTTTAACAATATATTCTTTTCACTTATTGTTGAGGATTTATATATCATTTTTTTATTTATTGGAATAATTATCTTAAACCGTATTATTTTTAGAACTAGTTTTCAATAAATGTTTTTAGTTATTTTTTAACGATATTATATTTAAGAATCTTTTTATATATTTTAATTTATCATTCATATTTTTATTTTAATATTAAATTAATTATTTTGAAAATATCAATACATAAAAATATTTTTTTATGATAATATAAATTATTTATAATAAATTAAATTATATTTTATTTGATAAAAATATTTATTTATTATAATTTTTAATTACAATATAATTTTTAAATGCAATAAATAAATTTTAGTACACTACTTTCACCTTCATACTAGGAGATTTTTTTAAAAAAATGTGAATTCCACCGATATTTTCTCTTTTCTCTCATTTCTCACCCTTTCTAAACAATATATAAAACTAAATTCTCTCTCAGACTTTTTTTTTTCGCATTCTCCTCTCTTTCAAAAAAAAACACCATAAAGAAGTAATAATGTGGCTTATAAAAAAGAATGCAATCCTTCAATTACTAATATTTTTTATGATACAACGTCACCAGGCAACATAACCGGCCGGGTGAGAATTAAACTCCTCACCACAAGGTTAAAAACCAGTTATTTGTGAATTATTTAATACATTTATGGATTGCACTTCATCATATTAATTTCTTTTCGATTATACCTTTTGTTAAATCTAAAAATTAGTTATATATATTTTCATCTTTCCTTTTTAAATATGTTCATTCTTTAAAAAGAAACCAAATAATCACATTTAAAAAGGAAAGATAAAAAAATATTCCTAATTATTAGAATGTACATATTTAAAAAGAAACAAGATAATTGCATTTAAAAAAGGAGAGAGGCGTAATTAGGATTAATCACATTAATCATGAAATCAAATATATTCAACTTAAAGATACATTCTAGAATAAAAAAAAAACCTATATATATATATATACACACACAGAAGGAGAGAGTCTATAAAAGATACATGCTACTCTCTCATCAAACCCTCTCTGTTGGAAAGAGTTGTCAAAGTCTCCCTCAGTCCTTTGCAATGGCACAGAACAACGACAACGATCATCCCTACCCCTTCATGCTGCCTTCAACAAGTATGCAAAACTCTGCCTTGAATCGTGCTTCTCCAGTGCGAGGCCTTGAGTCACACATGGAATCCCTTACCTTGGACAACCCTTATGTCGATGATTTCACGTTGCATCGCATGAGGATCACTGGTGCTGCAAATGCAGCCACGCCGCACGTGTACCAACTCTACCCTAATGGAAGTTTCATACACACACCAAGCTATGAACAATTGGTTTGGTCACGCCCAGTCTCACACCATCACAATCTAGAGCCTCATCGGGGACGCTGGCTTTCGATGGCCATGGATCCACGTGGATGTCGTTCGCTTCAGAAGAAGATCGATAGCGCCACGCCCCAAGAAATCTGCAAGATCGTGAAAGAACTGAGGGGTCATTTGCACCACTTGATCAAACACGATTTTGGACACTTCGTCATCCAGAAGCTTTTTCAATCAACCAATGTTAGCGTTCACCAAACCAACGCTATTATCTATCTCATTGTCACGGACGTGGAAAAGCTCAAAGATGTATGCATGCATGAGCAAGGGTATCAAATATTTTAGTTGTTTCTAATTTCTATAAAATCTTAACTGATTTTAATCTTTATATATCCCTAAAAAATTTCAACTTATTATTTTGTACCCTTTCAGTTTTTCTTTTAACTAGTAGGAATTACTGTGACTATAAAAGACTTTTGATTTTTTTTTCAGCCGCTTTCTAGTGATTTTTAGTCTTGCAATTTAGTGATATTAACAATCAAGAGATAATTTTTTATTTTAAAATGAATATTAGAGATCAGAATAGTAATTTCAAATTTTGAAAGAGTGAAAATAATTTTTTTTGTTGATTTTATATAGACCAATAAAATATTAAATAAAACCAAAAACGGTGACTTTAAAATATAAAGGATAAAAAAAATAAGGGAACAAAATTAATTTTTATTTATTTATTGAGACAAAATTTAAACATATTTAAATCATTATTTTATATTTCTCTTTCTAATTAATCTATTTTTCTTGCTACAGATATAGGGTTTTTCAGATGCTGCTGGAGTACATCGAAAGCCCATACATGATACAGATAATTACAGATGCTGTGAGGTGTATCACTGTCGCATTGATGAAAAATTTTAATGGTGGTTATGTCATTCAACACTGCCTGAAGCTGTTCCCACTTGGGAATAAAAATGTAAAGCAAAGCCCTAAATTATCTTCACTAACCCAGGAAATAATATTGAATTGCTTTCTTTAATATTTTTTAGATATTTTGCTTTTATTTGACATGATTTATAGTAATTTATAATTAATACTATTCATGTTACACAACACAAGTGAACATGAATAAGATTCTTTTTCCGTCAATCTTTAATCGAAAATTTCTTTCAGGCTATTTTGGATGTAGTGGTGAAGAATTTTCTTGAGATTGCAAGAGATAAATGCGGATGTTCTATTGTTCAAAGATGTATTGGCTATGCTGAGAGTGAGACGACTGAAGCTTTCTTGAGACTAGTCAACGAAATAATCATAAATGCCGTAGTCTTATCAGAGCATCCATATGGGTTTTGATCTCGAACTCTATATATTTCTTTTGAGTTTGAATTTTTCCTTCATTTTATTATTTTAACATTTTTTTTCTTTCATTTTGTTGATAGAAACTATGTGGTGCAGTTTTTAGTTAAAAGGAGAATATTGTGGATAAATGCAATATTAATATCACGGCTCCGTAATACATTTATTGAATTATCTATGAACAAGTATGCAAGCAATGTTGTGGAAAATCTCTTGGAATTTTCTGAAACGGAGGACGCTGCTATTATAGTTCAGGAGCTAATGGCCAGCCCCGAGTTTCTTTATGTAATTCAAAATCCTTATGGCAATTATGTTGTTAAGAAAGCATTGCAAAACACCCAGGTTTGCAACATTAATACACACAACAGTACTTTAGCTAGAATGTTAAATTTTGTCATTCTTTATTTCTCTTCTCTCTCTGCTTTATTCTTTTCCCCTTGCAAAACCTTTTTAATCTGTATCATGTAAATTAAGAAGTTCTAAATTAGACAATACCATATGTTATCCCTAATGGTTTTTTGTTTTCATTTAAACCTTATGTAAAAATTGTTGTTTACTATTTCCTTTTCATTGCAGGGCTTTTTGCATTTAAGTCTTTGTACCATTATTTTATCAAAACATGAACATCTGAATGGCTGTCTTTATGGAAGACTGGTGCTAGCATTTGTCAGATCTTGCAGGTGCAGAGGATCACAAAAAAACGTCTGAACGAGGGTCGTATATACTTGATGTGTCTGGATTGTTAGTTTGTCGTGAGCTTAAAGATTGACTGGGTTTAATTATTTTATAGTTTAGTCTTGTCATGTTTTTGTTGTCAGTTTGTTGTTTTAGATAGGAAATTGTGAAATTAGATTATGGAGTCTTGCGAGACATTTGAGTCTGCTGATGCTTAATTATGTATTGTAGGGTATTCATTATTTATGAAATTCATATATAAATTTCTTTTCTTTTTTGGAGAAGATACTCAATTAACTATTTTTTGTGTTGCACAATCTGGTAAACTACCATTAAGCAGTAAGCACTTGTATTAGTACACGCAGCTATGAAATACTGGTGAAACAACTTGTAGGATTTGGATGATTCTGGGGAAACCGAAAAAATCGCAATGCTTTCTTGCGAAGCTGAATATATTGATTGCATTACAAAAAAAAAAGGGTGGATTATTTGAAACATAATGTAGCATCCAATTTGTAGCTTGATTTGCACAGTATACATGACTAAATTATCAGTACATCTAATTTTAAATTATTAAATATAACTAAAATATGCCTTTAAATTTATTTTGATCATCATAAATTTTACCTTAAAATGTATCTCACAAAATGATCATCATTGCAAAGTCACTGGGAGCTTATTTAACCAATTGATTTTTTTAAAAAACATTTTAGCCAGGAATTTATAAGAAACTAGACATGATAGATAAGTAATGCACTCATGGCTATTGTACATATATATAATATATAGCACTTAAACCACAGTACCGGTATATGAACCAAAAGAAAACAGCATACCATATACTAATCTTAATCACTAGTTCCATGCTATGTTTTGTTCTAAAGAAGGGTTTGAAGTTTGATATTGAATGCTTAGGGTATATTTTGTTGAATAAGAGGCAAGTCAACCTCATCGCACCACTCGACACACCTAGTTTCAAAATAAGAACCCTTTGCATGGTTGGGCAAATAGCTAACCCAAAATTCTCCTCCTATTCTCCACTTCAACACACTCCCTTCCATCTCTTTGCTAAGCCTCCACCCTACCTTCTCTCCATATTCATCCCCCGCTATAACCACCGACCCCTTCTTAGTAAACGCTCTATTCGCCTTCACATACCGCCCTCTAAGCCCATGGACCGCCTCATCCGCCGTGGGCCTCCACGAGCCAACTTCATGGCCCGTACTGTTATCATAAAGAACGGCGTCGAATATCGCGGCGTTCCCCTCCGCGTCTTGGTCCATTCTCCAACTCTTACTCCGCGTCCTCCTCGAAGACCTCGCCGAAGTCTTCACCTGCGACTTCTCGAAATTACCCTCCACAATCCTCTTCACTTCCACTTCGCTCTCTTTGTTCTCCGTGGACCGGCCCAAGCTCAGCCCACCAACGTAAGTCGCTCCGATCTCCGGGCCCACCCAAACCCGAACACGCGACGGAAAGTGTTTCTCCTCAACAAAATCCACGTCATCGTTCTGGCTAAACCCCAGCCTCGCCACGTGGAGTCTTACATTATCGACACGTGCACGAACCTGAATGAAGCCCTCGCAGAATCCAACGGTGTACTCTAGCTGCACGTGTGCTTCAAGCTGGTGGTGCGCGAGAGCGTAACGGAGTAATGACTCCTTGGCATCGATGCCGGTGAATTGAGTCTTCTCGGCGTTGGTTCGCGCGAGTTTCATTGTCATCACCGGCGCGTAGCCTTTGAGAATCCAAAGACCGTGAGCCTCGGTGGCGTAGGAGAACTTCGGAGGAGAAGGGTTTGGTAATAGGGCTTTTAACCCTACTACGGGCAATTGTGCTATGATGTGGAGTTTTGTTATGATGTAACCGAGGGTGCGCATGAAGCAGAGTTCGGTGTCGGCGCCGACGGTGATGAAGAAAGTTCGGAGGACAGAGGCGAGTTTAGGCGACGGCGTTTGGAGGGTGGGAGCGAGGAGGGAGTGGAAGTAGAGGGAGCCGGCGTCGGTGGGGGCGTCGCAGGCGCAGAGCCAGAAGAGGCGCATGGTGAAGACGAAGTTGAAGAACGCGGAGAGGGATTCCGGTGTGTGTGAGTCCATGATCCATGCGATGGGGTCGGCTTTCAGTTTCTGGAGCTGGGACCTGGGGCAGGTGCTATCGTGCGCCGTGGGTGAGTTGGATATGATTTCTTGGAGCAGTTGCAGGAGGAGTGGGAGGAAGGGGTTTTCCGATGAAAGGTGGCACTTTTCGGAGACCCATAGAGGCTTGTGTGCGTTGTGTGGGTGAAAGCCCTGCAAGCACACCGTGAAGGTCACCACTGCTTCTGAGTCTGACCCGGAGCTTCGTTCCGCTTTCAGGTGAATGGAACGAGTTGAGTTGTCTTTCTCCTCGCTCGCCAGTTCCAACATGGGTGTTGAGTCGGACTCGGTCCACTCCACCGAGTTGGGGAGCTCGCATATCCACGACCAGATATCCATAGTGTTTAATTGTGTGTTAGGTAGTGACTAGTGAAGTGTGAAGTGTGGAGTGGGAGGGGAACGGAGTTTTAAAGAGGAAATGAATGATAACGGGATTGCCAACTTGGAAGCAGTTTAGGCCACGCAGGGATGAGGAACTGGTGGTTCTAAGAGTGTCTTTCTGTCTTGTTTGAGGTTGCATGTTGGATTTATTGATAGTCTAGTTTTCTTTCACTTTCTATGTCTCCAGGTTCTTCTACTTCTATGGCTGTAGAATGGAGTAGAAAGTTTTGTCCTATCCTTGGATAACTGCATACGTAGACTCAGACTTTGTCCTAGTTAGTTTCTGGGGCTTGATGCCTTACACGTATGGCCCAGTAAACTTGGCAACCACCTAGACATATGTGAATCACATATTAAAGTGATTCACACATATTTCTGAATCACACAAAAAAAATATTATTTGTCTTTGTTTAATTCTACTATTATCATCTTGGACTTTTATTTCTTAATTAAGAATCAAGATTTATTTTTATTTTATTTTATAAAAATGCGATAGAATGAAAGAATTATATCTCTTTAAAAATAATAATAATAATCTTGTACTTATCTTTAACAAGGAGACTAGGGTGGACAGTAATATAGTCTATGATGAACCATATTATTTCATCTTTAGGTTTATGAAAATGCTATAGTACAGTAGAAATTTTCATAAAAAATAAAATAAAAGAGAAAAAGTATTTGGTATACGTACAACAATATCAAATATGATAAGACAAAATTATGATGGATTTTAACATGAAATAATAAAAAATGTGCCTTAGAATATTTCTAGTGGGGTTTCTATGCTCTTATAGACGAGGCACTAAAATGATTGGGAATAAAAGGTTTTTAACCGGAAAAATATAAAAAAATAATCACAAAAATATTTGAGAGTCACGGTGATGTCGTCATTGTGCATGCGGCCAGGTTGCAACGCCGTTGCGCGTGCGGCTACGGTGACGAGGCACCGTCGCTGTTTACTGAAAAGGAATCGTCGAAACCCTCGTTCGAGGGATCGATCGCATCGTCGTGAAACAAATCTCGTTCTCTCTGGTTAGCCATAGCGAAATCAGATTACGAGCCGAGGAAAGAAATTAAAAACCCTAGGTTCCGCCCTTGTGTGTGTAGCCACGATGATGAGGCACTGTCGCTGTCCATCGAAGAGGAATCGTCGAAACCCTCGCCATTCGAGGGATGGATCGCGTCACCATAGAACAAATCTCGTTCTCTCCGGTTAGCCATAGTCATAGCAAAATCAAATTATGAGCGGAGGAAAGAAATTGGAAACCCTAGGTTCCGCCGCTGCGTATGCGGCCACAGTAATGCCGCCGTTGCGCGTGCAGCCATGATGGTTTGACGGGATAAATTGAGAAAAAAAAATATTTTACTGATTACGTGAGTTTTCTTCCTTCAATCTCGTACATTAATTTTTTATTAATATATCCAATAACTAAAACTTATGATTCATCTATGAGTGTATGAGGAACATTTTTTACCGCTTCATGTTAGAATCTGTCCCAGGTGTTGTGCATAGTAGTAGTTGACCATCATAAACCACCTACATACTTATCACTTAGATATCGTCAAGTTAACATTCAACCTTTGTCAGTCTTAGAAAATGCTGTCATAAATTTACAATATTTAACAGTTTAAAATAAAGGGGTTACTGTTATGCTGATATAGGCAACATAAGAACAAATGAAAAATACATATATACTTTATAATAGGTAGACTAGTGTGAAATTGCTGTAATTTGTTTTCTGCATTAATTATATAAACCACTGTATTTATATTTTCGAGAATATATTTAAAGAGTATGGACTGAGGCAGAGCATTAACATTTTGGTTAAATTTTCTCATTTTATATTTCTTATCTGGCCATATCCAAAGCTGATCCTAACTTTGAGTGGAGCTTTCCATGTTTACGAGCGCTATTTTAGATTTTATCGAGTTGAATTATTACTTTATTAAAACTTAATTAAAACAGTTCGATAACACTGTTGTAAACGTAATAACGGGGAATTAGATTAATATCTATAATATTTTAACTTTACACTTTCGTTATTGTATAAAAGAAAAATTAGCAGTTTGGTATACATGGTGATGTACTTACATCCGAAATTACAAATTACAATTGCAGTATTTCATTTTTTTTAGGAGTGTCAAATGTGTTGTTAATCTATTGGGCTGACATTTACTTATTGATATTAATTTATGATATTTTATTAGTGATTGAATTGTGAATTTATTTTAATATTGTTTATAGATTTATTCTATTATTATGGATAGATTTATTATGTAAATCTCTCATCGAATATCCTAATCACTTAATTTATTACTAGTTTATAACATTTTTCTCTTATTAATTATATTTGATCAAGAATTTGTTCCTGCCCCTTTTTCTTATATCTAGGTGGTTGTGAATCACAAAATCAATCCCTGGCTAGAATACATGCATCCATTCCTAAAAAAGTGGAATTTATTAGTTATTTCCGCTAAAGTCGGCAAAGGAAATAAAAATAAACGAGTCCTGCTGCTTGCATAACATTTTTCCCCATATAGATCGTAGGCTCTCTCCCAAGGATTGGATATCATTTCATACGTGCATAGCAAGCATGTCCCAGATATCACTGCCAACAGGGATTGCTGCAAGGTATTTTCAGACTAATCTCCAAAGTGTCTACTTCAAGAATTTCCACAAAATAGTACTCGAAAGTTTAGACTAATCTCGCATCATAAAGTGTCTACCAAGAGAATTCACAGTTTCCCACAAAATAGATACTCGAAGTTTAGATGTACATTAAGCTTGTGCAGGAGGAAATTTTTGGCCCAGTTCTGTTTTTCATGGGGTGCATCTATAACAAGAATATAATTATTGGTAAAAACATTTCCTGCTTATAAACAACAACCCTTTCAGCTGATTAATGATGTTCAGATAGCGGTTAATCAGTAATAACTTGCAGAGTAATATACCGATATGCTGATACAGACTTTAGTATTGCTTACTTCGCCAAGAACGAGCAGTATTTAACCTGTTATTCATCAATATTTCTCAGGACCAGCCCTAATCATTCGGCATGGGTTTCAGGCTTCAAAATAAAGATAATTTCTGTAAAAGATTTGGCATTCGTCTGCGTTTCATGAATTTCAACAGCACATTTAATAAGAATCCATCATCTCTTTTGAATGATCTACCCACAATATATAGTCATATATGTTTCCCACATAGAAACCATACAGGCTACAGCAGTGGTCCTGGCGATAAAGCTCAATAGCTTATCATCAGCCAACATTTACTCTGCAGGTAGACACTATGCACTACAGGAAGCACGGGACCTTATTAGTAACACTTGTAGGAATACCAATAAATTAGCAAAGCACAATAATTAAGCACCATATCGATCTCAAAACTCATAAAATAAAATTATAAACAAAGATTAATGAAGTTAGTATAATCAGGGGGCTATATCAAAAATCTTACAGTAAAAAAGGGATGATCTCAAGAAGATCTACTGGATCTACAATCATGATAAGTTCTTACAGATAGAGACACACCAAGGCAGTTACTGAGACCGAGTTTAGAGTGTAACCCGGTGGCACAGGAGAGCAGGATAATAAAACAAACCATCAGGAAATGCAGGTTACTCAGAATCGGAGGAGTCTGCTCTGGTGCTCTGCCGAACACTTCTTGTGGTTTTGGCACTGGACCTTGCATGATTGAGCGATGATTCACCCTCATAAGAGATGACTTGAGCTTTAGCCAATCTTTCTTCCAGCTCCTCCGTGCTAAACGCATCAGTCCCACCAAGTTCATCAAACCCAACCTAGTCATTCACATAGCACCATTATCATATTGCTGCTGCTAAAATTGAATGATAATTAAATAAAGAATTTAATATATCTTCACTGTCCATATAAAACTTTCCATCAATCAGAATTCCTGGAAGGTGTGATTTTTAAAATAATCATACTAAAATCATCAAACCTATCATACATAATAAATAACATTATAAAAACACTTTGCATGGTCAATATATATACACTCTGTTTTTTTTGTCTGTTATACTCTTCTTTTTCCTATACCACAGGTATCTTCTACTAGTTCTGCATGGTCCTGGAAGGTTTTGTTGGGCCGGTTAAGACTGAAATGATGACAAATTCTCCCTTCAAGTTTTAAATTAAGTTACATATCCAGTGATGATGTATAAACAAATTGCTCGTAGAGCTTCACTCAAAAAAAAAAACCGTATCTAACATAATATTCCTGGCAAACACATAAGACCAAGTAAGTGGCTTCATATACATACCACGTAATCATCCACTTTGGCATTTTTTATGAGGGCAAGAGTAGGAAGAACAATGATCTTGAGCTTCTCAGCCAGAAAGGGACTTTTCTCGGCGTTGAGTTTCACGAATCGAGTCTCGATATGCTGCTGTGCCAACAAATTTAAATGCTTGTCCATAACCTGCAAGCAAATCATCAACATGAATGTTCCTATTATTCCACATTAAAATTCCGAGTCATGCGTGTACGTACGAACCTTGCAGGGCCAGTTTTCGCGGTAGAAGTGGCATACGACGCGTTCGCTGGCCTTGACGACGGAGAAGAAGTCTTTCTCGGAGGGAATCTCGGAGTACTCGGAGTGGCCGAGGGAGATCCAACGGGAGCGATTCTCCGCCATCTTCTTCATCTGCTGGAGGCGGCGCTCGCGGAGGGCCTCGATGTCGTCGGCGTCGAGGCGCTCGAGGGCGGCGATCTCCTCGTCGATCTTGTCCTCGACGGCGCGCGCCACCGTGAGCACTTGCTTCTCGATAACCTCTTGGATCTTACCCTTATCCATCTTCCGCTACCAAAGGATGATACCGATACGACGCCGTCTCAGTTGGCCGCTACTCCCTTTTTGTGTCGTTTGAATTGAATTGAGGATATCTAAGGTTTGCCGCACATTTCACTTAAAAACAACGAGAAATGTAGGTCACCAGATCTAACTACAACCTTATGCCATTTCAGGAGCAACTACCTTTTTTTTTTTTTTTTTTTAACTATTCATTCGTTTTCTCACATATTTTTTTCAAAAAATTTTGAACTAAAAAAAATTGAATTTTTAAATAAAAATATATCATTTAGTCTTTAAATTTTTTTAAAAAAAATTAATTGAAGCTTTTAACTAAGAAAATTACAATTAAGTCCTTCATTTTATTTTATAATTTTGTGATTTGGTTTTTAGAATTAAAAATTTATTTACAATATGTGAAATTTGGCAAAATTCTATATATCACATATTTATACAATTATATTTGATTATCTTTTATATCATCTTCTATGTCTATTAAAATTTCTTATTATTCCATAGTTATTGTGATTAGAAAAATTATAAAAGTTTATAAGATATAGATTAAAATTTGATACATATTAATGAATATGATGATATGGAATAATAATATATGTGATGTGACTATCCAAATATGATGATATAAAAAATGTTATGTCAAATTTACATAGCATTAACTTTAAAAATTAAATCATAACAATATAATACAAAAATGTGAAGGACTTAATTATATATATTTTTAATTTAAAAAAACAAATATCAAATATCAAATAATTCAAGAACCAAATATTATATTAAATTTAAAATTTAATAAAATTTCTTTATTTTATTATTATTTTCCTAAAAGTATATTGTCTTTTATATTTTATCTTTTCATGTTTATTTTCTCTGCACTTAAATAATTTTGGAGTTTTCAAAAAGATTATATAGGTTTAATTTTTTATGATTAAACATTATTTCATCTTCAATTTTTTACAATCTATAAGTTTAGTCTTACTATTTTAAAATAAAAATATTTAGTTTTTTAATTTTAAAAAATATAAAATTTTGATCATATAGTTAATTTGATATCAATTATGTTGGGATATAATCAAAGTTTTATCATTAATATAAGAAAATGGACATAAATTTATATACATACATAGTATCTATTGATATGAGATGTTTTGAAAGATGCTCAAATGTAAAACTATGAGGATTTAGGCTCATAGTGAATAATATTATACCAATATGTATGCATGTGTGTAATTATCTGAAGCACCCCAAGCCTAACAAACTAGTATCAAATCTGATAGTTTTGACCAGGTGATCGTTAAAATGAGTATGATGGAATTGACAAATGGATCAAGAATAGGATCCTTACATATCAAAAATAATTCTTCCTCTCAATGTTAGTTAATCCATGTATGGAAAGTCTCCATGTTGTTAACATTGAGAGTTAGGAAGTGTGTTGTTACAAGTACCTAGAACATGGTTAAGCCCTATGAGTATAGATTGAAAAGTTGGCTTTCATAGTAAGGAAAGGTTAAATCACAGTCATTTGTTTAAAAGAGAATTATTGGAGACATAATAAAAATCTCACATCGTTAGAGTGATAAGTGCTCAAATTGCATATTTTTATGCTTAATTTGGCACTTTTTTTTGGGAGAGATGTAAGTACTTTTGGTTGTATTTGACCCTACAAATAGATGAACTAAGATTAATCTAAGAAGTTACAAGTGTGTAGTTTCTTTGGTTGAAAATATTTCCTTTTTGTGTAGATTTTGATGAAGTTGGAAATCCAAGGCTATAGCCCCAAAGCCAAAGTTGCAGCCATGAAGCATGAACCAAAAAGAAGTGTTCCAGAAAGTTAAGGCTATAGCTCCAGATTCAAAGCTGCAGCCACGAAGCCTGAACCAATTCCAGAGAGTTGAAGCTTCAGCCATGAAACCAGAGCTCCAGCCTTGGAACATTTTTGGCAGTCCATAAATTCAGAGCTACAGTCCCCATTCCAGAGCTGCAGCCTTGGGTTAAAAATCCCAACTTTCACTTGGACAGGACATATTTTAGGGCAAGAAAGGATCGAAAAAAGGGGATCGAAAACAAAACGAAACAAAAGAAAAATAGAGAGAAAGATCACCCAGGAGAAGAGGAGAGCTTGAAGATTAGACTTGAAGATTGGCTTGCTTGGGAACGATGATCCATCTTCATTTCTTCTCTTCTATTGTGTAATCTCATCTTGTTATTTGCTATGGCCCTCACCATGAGTGGCTAGTTTCTCTTGGGTTGGATTCAATGTAACTACTAACTCTATTTCTTCTTAGATTTATATGATATTCAGTTCTATTACTTGTGTTTGATTCTTCTCTTAAGGCTTAATCCGGTTTGATCACCCGTTTTATGATTTTAGGTTTTTGAACTTTGTTGGGAAACGTTTTCAAAACCCAAACTGAATCATTCACCTAATAATCTATTGTTCTAGGAATAGACTTGATTTTGTTAGCCATTTTGGTTCAAGTTATTGTCTTAATGCAATGTGTTAATCTTAAATCATAGAGGAATCATGATTAGGGTTAACCACCTTAGGGCTCAATTTTGAGGAATCTGGTTGAGCTAATTATTGAACATGGAAGTGATAGAAGTGGAATCATATTTATCCGATGAAGAGTAAAAGAGTTAGAAAGTACATTTGAATCCAATTTCTTTCTCATATAAGGTTTTCTATTAAATTTATACTTTAGCTTTTAATTGCTTTATTATAAACTTAAATCAATATTTCATCCATGTTCTCTATAAACAAGAAAGGAAATTACTAGTATTCCCAAATCCCTGAGGACGATATCAAATTACTACAACGAAGCTTGGTCCGCTTGCCAAGAGTGAAAAATCCTTCACCATAGAGCAAGAGGATGAATATGAGTTATATACAATCAAAGTCTTTGATGGTTTATGACCAGTTTATCATCAAGACAAGTATGATGGAATATTAACATGTGGATCCATAACATGGTCCTTCGTATCGAGTGTAATTCTTCCTCTAAGTATTGGTGGATCCATATATTTGAAAAGTTGGTGGTCTATTTGTTGTTAACATGTTGAGTTAGGAAGGATTTTGGTGTAAGTACTTAAAGCATGGTTAAGCTTTATAGACTAAAATTGAAAATCTGTAGTACAACTAATTTGAGCTAGAACTTTCAAAGTGGGTAAAAACTTATGAGCCAATTCGATCCACCGCAGGTTTGAGCGACAAAATTTTGGTCTGTTACAATTATAAGAAAAACTTTGTCCAACTCACTTACAACCTAACTTACCACGAGTCAATCCGTGGTGAGTCGAGTTAACTTACCAAATATATATTTTGATTTTTTTATTATTTTATTTTACTTTCTAGGTTCCCAAATGTTAATTTATGTAATTATACATTTATACCATTAACTAAATTTTATACATATTTATTGTGAATTATGGTAACTAGTGTCAATTTGATATTATTTATCAATATTTATGCAACTTTGATTTTATACATTGATTAACTTGGTTATTGTTAATATCTATTTTTTTATATTTTATTTGTTCCATCTGTTAATATAGTTATAATTATAAAACATAAGATTATAATATGTATTTTTTTCATAAAGTTTAGTACTTTTTTGTTTATATATATATATATATATTAATTTAAGTAAGTCAACCTATTTAACTTACCGACTCATGATAGATCGAGTATAGTTAATTTTTTTTAAGTTCACTTAAAGATGAGCCGAATTGAATTGGTTCACCTATTGTCCAATCCTTGGTGGATGGGACCATATTACCCATTTTGACAACTATAATTTGAATGGACAACTATATTAAGTGCGTGTTTGGTTTCACGTTTACGTGAAAAATCACGTTTAACGTGAAAGCTATAATGTGTAGCTTCACGTTAAACGTGATTTTTCACGTTTCAAACGTGAAATCAAACACAAGCTAAATATGTTATTAAATCACATTAAATTCACAATAACTTTGATAAAAATATAAATCTGACTCACTATCTATGGATAATTAGATTAAACATGTCCTCACTTATTTTATAAAGTATTCGACCACTGCACTATAAAATCATTTTAATATCATTTTGATATATGTATAACAAAAGTATTTTGTAAATTTATGATTTATCTAAAATTATATATTTAATAACATATATTTTTTAGTTTAACTAATGACTCATTAATTTAATCAATATTTAATTGAGTTGATTACTTATCTGATTATATAATTTATATTATAATATATTTGACACCTAATTACATGTGTCATAATAAAAGTTATAAGGAGGTATGGTAATTTGAGAGAAGAGACATAAAGTTTGAGTGAAAAGAAGAAAGTGTATTCGAAATTTTCACTAACAATCAACGATTAACATTTACCGATTAAAAAAATCATAAAAGCTTTGTCAGATAGTAAGTAATCCCGATATAAAGCATACATTATTTTGTAAAAAGAAATTATTTGGAAAGGTATTTCGTAAGAAATATTAATAAAACTGAATAATTTAGTTTAATAATTTGATTTAAATAAGATATATTAATTTTCAACATAAAATAATAAACTTATATATAACATGAAATATTTATCACTTAAAATTAGTTTTTATTACATTTTAATGATTAATTATTAGTTAAAAATTAATTAATTTTTTTTATACAATTTAGGTCATTTTATGGTAAATTATATTAAATGTTAAAAAATAAAGCAACAAAACTATAAATCTAATGAAATTGAATTCGATGTTTTTTTACCTTGTCTGAAGTGATTTAATTAATATAAAATAATATCGTTATAATAGTCGTTTGACTAGTTTTCAGACTAATTATTACTCGTGGTAATGAAAAACTTACTATTAAAATTATTACATATAGTATAATTATATTTAATAATTTAAGATTAGAAATTAACCTATATGGCTATATCAGTTTGAATTATATGTTTTTATTACACCTTTATTAATTTTATATAAAATGTTTGTAAGGTATTTGAAAAGCTGTTTTGTCTAGAATTAAAATTAAAATATATTAAATTATATAAGTGACTATTTTTGTTTAAAAAGAAAGTGTCCTAATGAGTTGAACTCATTATAGTAGGATGGCAAGTGTTGGTATCGTGGCAGCTTGTAGTACTACACTATAATGTTCCTGACATGTCACATGCTTGCAAGTGTGTTGTGCATCATGACGGTGCTTTAAACTTTTATCTGGGAACTGGCATCCAAGAATCACATGCGAGAAACCCGGTATTAATTTCATTTTGTTTTGTCAGTGATTGAGAGAGATTGTTTATTTATCCATTATCCAGAAATAGGATGTGTAATTTATTCTCGTTCAGATCTAACATCCATCAGACATCGAGAGTAACAAGAATCCAACACAAGCTTAGGAAGCGGTGACACGGATAGTACAGTATTAAGTAATGACGTAATTTGTAAACACAGAAACACAACAAGACAAGGTCTTCTTCAAGGGCATTTGGGCTTGCCCTTCTTGTTGAGCTTGTCCCTGTAGCAAGGGCATTCATGCTTGTTCCCATAAGTGCCAGAAGGAACACATTTGCACTCTGCACAGCATATTCCACAGTACTTCAAGCACCTATCCTTGACACCTGCCGCTGAGCATCTGTCCGAACACTTGCTGCTGCAATACGCTGCATGCATGACATCAACACACCTAATTAATTAATTAACCTCAAAATAGATCAAATCAAACGTAGGAGTCAAAGAAAATAATTTCACATGAATCTTCATAGGCCATGGCTTCTTCCAAGAAAGAGGAGCTTAGCAGAAGAGAGCAAAATAGTAGGCTGCCAAAGAGAAGCTTCATTTTTGCTGTTGACAGGGAAAGAAGGATGTGTGTCTCAATAGGTTTGTCATGCCATTTGCAAGACCATTTATTTATAGTGATCAAGCCTCAATTGTGGGGACTAGTGGCCTACTGCTACTAGTGAACTTGCAAAGTTGGTGATAATAAATAAATATATTACTATACGTTAAAGCAGAAGAATGAGCACAGTTTTAAGTACCAAAAAATTTCTCTATTATTAAACACTTCTTTAGTAATATCATTTTTAATAAAAATATTATTTTAAATCTTATTAATGTTATATAAAAAACTTAAACCGGTACTTCAAATATATTACTGTTAGTTAATTCATAAGAATTAAAAAATGAGTTTTAAATAGAAAGATCGAAATAAATTTAGCCGAAGTGAGAAAATAAAAATATACTTAAACACTTTATTTATCATCATTATATTACTGTAATTTTTTTACATTACATTTTTTTTTATTTCTTTCTTTATTATAAACAAAATGTAATTTCTGAGTAAACTATAGGCCGAGTCGGTGCCTCAGGCAGTTGGGGCCCTCAACCCTAGAGACGCGTATTCTGCTTCCTTTCCCTTTGTCGCTTTGTGCTTGTTGCGTTCCTCACTATTCAAGCCTTTTCTATTCTAGAACGTTCATTCCTTCACACAAACACCGCACTAATACAAGATATGTACCTCATTTCGTTATGAATAATATAAGATAGTATGATTAGCATTTTAAAAATATAGGAAAAATAAAATTATAATTTAAACGAATAATATACAAATAATATTAAGCCTAGAAATAATTATTTGTTATTATTTCATATATTTTCATGAACAAGTTTAAAATAAAGTTCTTATTTATTATTAATAAATAAAACATCAGATCAAATAGTTATGATATTTTTCAAATCTAATTTTTAATTGCTCACTCTGATCCGGTCTTTTCTGATCTGATGGATCTAAAATAAAGAGTCTGGGCTCGACTGCGCTAGGCCATTTTGACACCCAAAGAACGGTGAATTTATCTCCATTTCCCCATCTGGACGTGTTAAATAAAGAGTATTCCCAATCCCTACTGGGCCTTGGCTCAAAAAGAATTTCAACAACCACATGAGGTGAACTTACCATCGTACAACGAAGCTTTTACAACATCAATGCAACTATAGTCATTACAAACTCTACAAATACTTCTTTTTTTTGTCCAAACTGTTAGAATTTTCATTACAAGCAAGCAAAGGTTAGGCCATGCCAGCCCAAAATTAGTTCTAGGAAACATTGATTGTAACCTCTACAAAATACATACATACATGCATACAAAATTGTACATCAAGCTCCCATACTGTGGAACGGGCAAGGGCGCAGATCATTAGAATCATCCTTGATGCCATGGCCACTAGATGCTAGTAAGTTGATCTACAAAAATAACAAAAATTAAAATAAAACTTGAGAAAACTGATCTCCCGCTGATTTAAGTTCAAAAATCATTTATCACTCTTCTTCTGAATCTTCCAATGTTGATCGCATAATTAATAAGAACGCAATTTTTGTTCTTGTTTGGAGGGAATGGAAGACTGTAAGTTGGAAAATGAATAAAGAAAATAATAACATTTTACTATATATACCTGTGCAAAAACAGAAGGACGAAAACTTAATTGTTGGATTAATAGTATATCTCTATTACATCTGAATATCAAATGCATTTTAATTTTAAATATAGTAGAAACACTTTATCAATTAATATTAAAGGTAGAAAATGAACTTGAAAATTTTCCCAAAGAATCCTTCTAATTATATAGCAATTTTTATTAGGATATTTTAACATATAAGATAAAGAGCAATAACATTGTAAAATATTTAGTTCTAGAAAATAAAGTTAAGTGAGTTAAACTCGTAATGTAGCTTTTTTTACTATCGGTATCATTGTCTCCATTTTCTTCCCAGATTTGGAGGGATAAATAATGGACTAACTACCTCAATATAGTTTTTCTCCTTTTTACTCGCTCCAAACAAGTAAAAGAAAACTTGGAGAATAATGAATATGTCATTGAGATTGTCGTGGTATAGAATAATGCGCATAAGAAAATATGGTACAACCTTGACAATTTTTGACTTGGTGCCTGGTCGCATGTAAGCCGCTAACACGCTCAAATTGAAATCCTGTATACAACATTTAAAAGAAACACAGTGGAACTAAATCCTATTCGTAATATCAAAGGAAAAAGAATAGAAATACATGATGCAGAAGAGATGAGTTTGTTCGCAAAGGTAAAAATATAAAAATATTTGTTCTCTTCCATTCCGCAAAGCATTGCCCACCCAGATAACCACCTTAATTCATGTTGAAGTTCACACCAGGAAGGCAGGAAATTATTGGGGTTGTCACCAATCCCCACATACTTTTGCATCACAAGTAATTTGCATGTATAAATTACTCAAATTAGCAATTTCAATTTTCATGCAGTGAATCGGTTTTTATGAACATCTTAAAGGCATTTTTCAAATGTTTATAGGAAAAAGACACATGTAGAAGGGTCACGCATATAGGTGAATGTATAAAGCATGTCAAAATCACAGTCATAACCATAATGTAAGAAATTTGATATAAAAGCTGCCTAGACTTTTTAGTTGGGAAAACAAAAAGATCCACAAGAATCAAGAATGCGAAAAAATTGATATACTTGAGATTTTCATAGATTCGACACAGAAACAACCAACCAAATTACCAAAGTAGGCAATACGAAGAAAAATGTAAGAACAAAAAAAAGGAGTTTAAAATCATAAAATGTCCAAAAATGACTACTATACTAAATGCCTTCTCTTTTTTCCTTTTACCAAGAGAAGGCTGGGAAAAGCTGAAAAAATAACTTACTCGGAAAGGATCACCCCTCAAAGATTGAACAAACACGGAACTTCCTAAGCTTCTTCCCTGCATAAAAGTAAACAAGTAATCATAGTGTACAATGAAACAGTAGTTCAAAAAAATGAAAGCACAATAATCATAGAAAAATATGGGAGGATATATAAACTTCCAAAAATGGCGCATAGATCCTCCCCCCAAAAAAAACACTCAACCCTTTTGTAAATGTATATCTCTGTATCCTCCATGCGGAAGATGCATAACACACATCAAATTGATGATTGATTTACCTCAAGGGATATATCTCTCAAGCGCTTTCCTGTTTGCGCACAGCAAATACGGACGTGTTCATCACAACTCCCACTTATGATGTAGTCCCTCCCATTCATGTAATAAGAACGGGTGTAATTTTGAGAACTTTCAGTGGGAGCTATATCAAAAACTAAGTGAAGCCTACCATCAACAGCCAGGTATTGTCTAACCTGAATAAACTTACATGTCAGCCTGGACACTAATAATTTGTTCTCAAGACAATTTTCCAAAGAGAAATACAGGCATGTATTTAATCAATATATATAACAAAAATCCCAAGAAAATTGCTACTAGTTTTAAAGCCGAACAAGATTTGCATGGTTGCAGGGCTTACTTTATTGAGTGACCAGTAACTACACATTACTTAATAAACTCTGACCAGTCCTACATAGATCGCAAAAAATTGCACTTCACATGCAGTGACCAGTAATTAATCACACAACTGAATTAAATTACCTCATTATCAACCGCTGATGCAAGAATATATTGATCATCCGGAGAAAAGCAAACCATCACATTTCCTCTAGAGCTAGAAACAGTGAAGCAAGGGTGTATTGGTTTTTGTCTCAAGTCCCACATTTTGACATCGTGATCAAACGATGAAGTGGCAAAAATTGATGGGGAATGATTAGCAAACTTGACTACATTAATATGCCCACGATGCATATCTGTGAACACTTGTAACCGCTTCCCACTGTTGATGTCATATAAAGCAACATTTCTGGAGTAACCACTTGCAAGAAACAGTTCATCTGTAGAGTTAACATGAACAGATGTCAACTGGTCAAATTCATCAAAGGTAACACAACCAAAATTCCCATGTGCGCCAGTAACTTTTCTTGGTATTTGGAGGATGTCATACAATTTCAAGGAACCATTGTCTGAACCAGCTATAAGCTGACATGCAACAACAAAAAATGAAAAGAATCAGAAATTGCCATCCAAACAGAAATCACTTGAGTAGTACATGCTCTAAAAGTAAAACTAATAATGCAGAATGGAATAGTTTACTTAATTAATGCATTTGATTAATAATCTTTACAGTCATTCTAATAGTGTAACTAAAAACCAATTATCCTTATAATTGCAACACTGTACTAAAAACCTAAGCTGGCAACGCTGTACTAGCATTCTTGCAGAAAATCACAGAATACCACATCTCTCTCATTAAAACTATTTTTTGCCTCTTCAAGGCTATGCATGACAAACAACAGATTCCATGAAGGCTGATGTTGCATTATGGGACAATCACCTCAATAATTTCCAATTATATCTATGATGCTGATAGTATTCACCAAATAAGTTAATAACCATACTAAGTACTCTCTTCTGGTCCTTATTATAATGCACAATTTAAAAGAAAATGATAGTCCTTTTAAAAGGCATTTTATCATTTTTATAAACATTAATTTTATTTTTTTTATTTTTTTCCCTATTAAAGAATGTGAGTATATGTGTTTGTTGTTGTTAAATAACGATAAGAGAATTGGAAAAATAAATGTTCTCTTTCTCTCTTACCTCTTGAATTCTCCAATTGTTATTTATCAATTTTATTCGTATTGGTACATAAACTTTGATATGAAGTACCGTCTTCACCTCTCATGACAATTTAATGACAAGTAAGAAGGGTACATTGTGCACATGATGATTTTTTTTTATAAAATCAACTAAAATAACAACGCAAATTGGTCTATATGATTTTGTTATAAGTGTCTTTTAATAAGGATCAAAGGGAGTATAATTTACAAAATCAATTTTTATGCAATAAGCGCATACCTTTGAGGGATATTTTTTGAGCCAACAGAGACCCAAAACACTATTCATTGCTCCAAGTGATGGGATATAACTAACAATATGTTCATTCTCATGGTTTATGACAACTACTTCACCATCTAAAGTTCCAAAGACCATCAAACTAGAGTCAGATGGATGGTACTCAAACTGCCTTGGATGAAAGCCCTTGTCCAATTCACATCCTGTTAGAGAAAGGGGATGCAAGAAAGGCCAAGTTGAAGACCCCAATTTAGCAGCACAAAGAGACCTAGTATAAAAATATTGGGAATTTGCAGAAGGATATGATGGCCTATGCTTAGAAGATTGCACCTTATTGTGGCCTGATTTTATTTCTCTCATCTGTAAGATATTTACAACGCTCTCTTTGTGCTTCCATTTATATGGAAGATATTCAAAGTATTCAGAAAATATTCCAGTAGCCCTTTCCTTGTCAATCTTTCTGATTGGCATATTATCTAAATTTTTTAGATTTGGTAATGAAGCTATCATGAACTCTCTGTAATGTTTCTCATAGCATATTGGTGATGCATGACGAGACATATACTTCATAGAAACATCAGCAATACGCTCTGTAAAATCACCTTGCAATGACTCTTCTCCATCTTCATTCTGAAATGTGAACAACTAAAATTAAAGATAAGGAAGTATTTAGAAGTCACAACTTGGATAAAAAAAACTTCATAATAACATGAATCAATTTTATGCAGTTCAATCTTAAGCATTTCATTTATGTTTTTCCTTGGAACATGTTTATTATAATTAGAATTCAACAAATAGAGTCATTTACTAAACTTTCAAAATACAATTGAACCATTAAAACAAAGTCGAAATAGGCAAAACAGAAAGCCGTTACACTTTTTAAGTTTTAATTAATATGACCATTTCCGTATCCAAGCTATAATCATTACCACAACCAAATAGCACCTACACAATAACAAAAGTAATATCAAATGCAAGCTGATGTCATAACCTCACAAGTCTGAACTGATACTGACTGATTATTTTAGAACCCAAACAATTACCTTTTTCACAAATTGACAGCATACAATTTACAAAAGTACAATCATTCAACAATGAAAACATCCTAGCAAGAGGGGTTTGCCACTATTGTTCTACTGTGGAGACTTGAGACCACTCTAACACTTTGAGCGTGTTTAGATATAAGCTAAAAGTATTTTTGAGAGCTTTTCTATTGGAAAAAAAAAAAAAAAAAACTTTAATTCAGTAGAAAAACTCTCAAAAGTACTTCTAAACTTGTATGCAAACAAATTAAAGAAATAAGGGAGATATAAATAGAATTGAAATGGAGTAGAAAACATATGTTGTTAGGAGTGATAGAAATAAGAAAAAATAAAATATAAAAATTGGCCTCTACTTATGTGGATGAGTGGCAAAGAGGGTGAAAAAAATGAATAAATTGTATAACTTAACCTTTTCTTCTATATAATTTTTTTATTTAACTAAACAAATGATAATTCAGATTTTTATAAACCTCTTATCTTATCTACAATTTCTTTTATTCAAAAACATTATTTTATAAACACTCATAACAAAATAAGCCAGTGCTGAAAATTAAAAAAAAAAAAAAAAAAAAACCCCAAACATATCTCTCCACAAGGGGATAGTGTGGGCACCATATAAACTTATCACAATCCAAACTTGAGAAGTGATTTATTTCTATCCCATCCCTTTACCGGTTTACCCTCTATTTTTGTCCTCTCTAATTCATCCAAAACATAGTGTAAAGGAAATCTACTGGCGAGGAAAAAGTGGCCAAGTTGACTACCTCATTTTGAAGAGGCACTTCTGAATTCCAACCAGGAAAAACATCTGACAACCAGTATCTATTATGTCGACTAGTAAAGTCAACTTCACTATCGTCTGATGAATCCTCAACCATGCTTTGAACATCATGATTTATAGCTTCTTCATCAAAGGAATAGAAATTTCTTATTGGATCTTCAGCACCAAAGCTGGGATCTGTCAGTTCTGCTGTATCAGTGAAGGATTCACCAATAAAAGGAAGTTTATCAAGCAGGCTAAAATCAGAAGGGCCATCTGTCTTCCCGCTGGATGAGATAAAAGATGTCCCAGCATCATTGCAATACTGCCAATATTGAAACCTTAATTCAATCAAAGAAGGAAGCTTAGAGAGAGCTGCAACAGTTGTCCAAAGATTTGTAATCCGTGTATCACACATTGAGAGGCGCATTAGATTGGGCATACAATTAAAACAGTCCTCCTGGAAACAGGTAAGCGAAGAACTGAAATCAAGATTTAGGGTGTGCATATGCATGAACTCCCCCATTAAGTTCAGCTTCCGGAAACGAGAACACCTCAATGTCAAAACTTGGCATGTCAACCCCCTTTGAGAAATATCCCTAATGATAAGATCCAACATTAGTCATGAAAAGCAAAATATGCAACGAAAATCTATTAGTCATGAAAAGCAAAATATGCAACAAAAACATAATGCACCAGGAAGTGCAACCATGAAGGCCAGTTCTCCTGATAATGAATGAACCACTTATGTTTTAGACTTTTAGGCAAACATAAGCCAATTTGGTATAAATTATCAATAGGAACAAAGCACCTCATGCAATTTATGTTAATTGACTACTGTCAAAGCCAAAGGTAATCCTTAGTAAGAAAAGACCCGGTATCAGGATAATAACGTCACACCACACCCATTGATATAAAACCACCTTCTACAGATTTTTATTTAATAGCTTAAATACCCAATTTCCATATTCAGTAACATGGAGATTGTTGGGAATTTCCAGAATTCCAAAGGCTAGAAATTCCATGTTACCATTTCAAATGTGTTGAGAAGATGAAAATAAAGGTGCCTGCCAATAAAAAATTATGTCATCAACAGTAATATACCGTAAGAAGTCCTTTCCAAATGAAAGATCCTGTAGATGGACTACTCGAAGCTTTTGATTAATAGCTCGCATCAATGATAATGCATATTCTCCATTTAATACACACGATGATTCATTACATACATCAACCACTTCTATTTCAGAAGTATCAAGGTTGATGCATAAGTCAAGAAGTGGAGCAATATCAATATCCTTTAGGTCATCAATTAAAATATCCAGGATGCACAGCTCATGGTTGGACTTTTTGAACTCAGCCTGCACGATCATAGTCAGGTTTAGATTCTTACCCCAAAGAATAGAAGTAGAAAATGGAATACATTCACTGCCCCCTACACAGGGAGAGTAAACACATGAAGAAATGGGGGTATATATAGAGAGAGAGACTATAAGATCATGTTGGAATGGTCAAAATTGAAAGAAAAATATTCATGACTTTTGTAGAGATCATGTGACCACTAACTAATTTTAACCATCCATATATAGTTGTATGATCCGAATTTAATAGATACCATTTCTCACTATAAGAATTCACTTGATACGACCCCGTATATATATAATGCAATTAAAAATTGGTTGACACCAAAGTTTGATGTAAGCATGCATCTCTTATCCCTAGTTACTGTACTAACCAGGAAAAGAGCAAAGCTGCAAATATTTGAATATAACAAAGATGATGAAAAAACTTCCACTTCCAGTGCTTAGCAGTAAATTTTGGGATAGAAGTAAACAACAGACCTTGAAAAGGCTTGACAAAATAGAAGAGTTAGGCATAACACCATGTCTACTGCAGGAATCAAGATACCTAGAACCAAAAATATTAGGTAATTAGGATGGAATCAATAGAACCAAAAAAGGAAAGGAAAACAGTGATTTCACAAGCAATTGCGGAAGCTAAGAATGAATTTAAGCAAACAAGCCTGTATATAGACTAACTTGTTTCCCATTGTTCATTTAGTTTTTTATTTAGAACACAAAAAACTTGATTTAACAAGACAATGCTAAGGGAGCAAGCATGATAATTCAGTATATTGTACAAGGAAATTCCCATAATTTCCCCGAAAAGGGCGAATTCGGTTGAGAACAAACAGAACGCCCAGTTCCTGATTCCAACAAGCAACGGCCAATTCAATATTTCAATGGAAATTAAGAGCGAAAGATGAAACTAAGCACCAGCCACATTTTACGTAACCTAGAACAATTCGAAAACAACAGAAGATTGAAGAATACGAGCACAAGAATAAAGAGCATTTTAATTTTGAGTTGATGAAGTGCACCTGTTTTCCAAAGTTTGGATGTCGATGGCCATGGTGATCGCACAAAGTGGATTGGAAAAACTCTCCAATCAACACTAACAGAATCGGAAGCCAAACCGTAAATTTAAAAACCAAAATAGGTAAGAATAAGAGTACGTATGATACAATGCAAAGCACGGTCTGATTCAAACAGTTACCTCTCCCTGCTTTTTTTTTAATATTTATTTTTTCCAGTTTCTCTTCCCGTACTAATGGCTATACTACATCCTTCTTCTTTTGGTTGCTCTTCTTTTTCTCTAGGCCGGTAAATGGATTTGTCAAAGCCCAGCTATCACCGGGCACGCGAGTCCATGTAAGCCCAATATTCTAGAAAAGTTCAAAAACAGATTAAGCCCAATTGAAAATGAAGAGATGTACGTGCACGGTGCATATAGCATGCATGTATGGACGATTGCAATAGGTTTTTTCCTTTGAAAAAAAAAAATAAAACAACAACAAATAACCATTCCCGGGAATAACATTCTTAAGTATTTTAAAAAGAATGTTTGATTAGCAATTAAAATTAGTGTGAATCTATTTTAACATTTCCGAGAATAATTTAAACATGTGTTTATTTACAAAATATTTGCGAATTGAAAATAGGCGGAGAAAAAAAAATTAAAATTTAACTCCATCATTGTTGGAGATGAGGAAATCCTCGAGAAAGAAATTTCTATTTTTAAAAAAATATCAAATCACTTCTCTTTTTTTTTTTTTATTCATGGATATGGTTGCCACAAAAAATGTAAATAGGATTTGGTCTTCTTCCAAATAATCTAAGTTCTCAATTACAAAATTTATAAAAACCAAATATTTGATTACAAAAATTATAATAAAAAATTAATGACTCAATTATATTTTTTTTGTTTGTTTAAACACTAGTCACTATAGCTTCATAAATTTTACTTTTTAATTTTTATGATTAAAAATATTTTATTTTCATTTTTATATATACTTTCTTTTTCTTTTGTAGTCTTTATCATTTATTATTATAAAGATTAAAAGATAAAATTTATGAGAATATAAAGGTTAATTAAAAAAATGATATATACAGAGATTAATTGAAATTGAAATTTTAGAAATTAAAGGGTAAAGTTCACATAACTATAAAATCAAAACTGAATTATTATTATTTTTTTTTTGACTTTAAGAGCCTGCTTAAAAGTTTCCAAATTGCTCATGGACTTGCTAAAGTTTAATTTAAACCAAAAATCAATATCTAATTTGATTCTTTAAATTCACATCATGTTTATTTTATGTCTCTGAGAGCTTTTATGGACATTTTAGTCATCAAATTGTTAACTCGATAACATTATAGTCTTTTCTTTTTTAAATGAATATATAATTGAAATATTTTAGTCCTTTCTTCACAAATATATAATTGAAATATAAGCAAAACGTGAAAAGATAAATATGTCAGAAAGACCAAATTGTATATATTTACGCTTATTAGGACTAATTGAAATATACGTATACTATATAACATTCTAAGTTTAAACTTTTGATCTAATCATTATAATTTCAATCGATAAAAAATAAATAAATAAAATTATCACGTGATCATGTTAATATATCCATAAATCAAGTTGTATAATAAACACATTTTTAAGGTACTTAAAAATAAACACTGTCACACTTTTAAGAACCAAAATGTTTTATTACCCTAATTTAAATAAATAACATATTAAATTACTACCTGTATTTTAATTAAAACAATATTAAAGTTAAGAAATAACATAATTATAATAAAAAAAAATAACAGATAAACTATATTTTTAGTACATTTACGATTTTTAGAAATAAGTTACCGTTTCTAACAATATATACTTCCTATTTATATCATAGTTAATTATCCAAAATAAAGCATAATCTCACTTCTACAAAATATATATATATATATATATATGTATGTATATATCCCCTTCGTCTCTTTCCTCTTGACCTATATGGCATTAAGATAAATTTGAGAGATACACGAAGTATGCACAGTGAACATTCACAAGGAGAAGATGGAGGTGTCCTAGAACAGAGTCTAGGTACACCTGATCTAAGGGCTAACATATCATATTCAGTACAAGCGAGAGGGCCAAACTACACAAACCTCAGGTTCAAAAAGAAACACTAAATTCGACACGGCTAAAGGCTAACAATCCATGTCATTGATCAATGCGCATAGATTAATTTCTTGAAAGTAAAATCAATCTGCATTTAAGCGTTAGCATAGAGGCATCATTGCATAGCATGCATAGGGTACAAGTGTGCACAAAAGGGTATAACTTCACTTTTTTTAAATAAATAAAAATCCAATCCATTCCTGCCTTGCATTTTCATGTGCAATATGGC